CCTGCTACAAAAAGAGCCCTGTACGGGGCCCCCCAATCGTTCTGAGGCTGCGGCCACCATTAGAATTTGGACACAGCGTGGTTGGTGCAGTCACAAAATGGCCGCCGCAGGAGGCGGGGCTGGCCACAAACTGTCTACCGCAGGTTACCTTCGGGCACACAGCGAAGATCCGTGTGCCGTGTTGGCAGCTGCCGCCAAAGGTGCATTGTGAAAAATCTGCACAGCCGATCAAACCTCCAACGGCCAATCAGAAGCCTTGCTGTGCAGAAGCCCCATCTGGCCCCGCCCACTTTCTAAAAACACTTGGTGGGGAGCCATGGCAACCATGGGCACCACACTGGGGACCCCGCTCTACTACTTCTTCTCGTAGGATCCTAAGGAGCTCAAGGATACCAGCACTGGCAGAGCAAAAATCTCGAACTTAGGCTTACCAAGTCCCCCCGGGGGGCGGGGAAACCCCTGCCCCAGAGGCCCGTTCCCTGCTGCCGCCGGATTGGGCCCCGGGGGGAGCCCCACCCCGACGTGCACGTCACCCGGAAGTGATGTGACCACGCCGGGCACGCTGGGGGCGGGGCCACGGTCATCCGAGGGAAAACTCTATGGTTTTCCCTCTGATGGTCGTGGCCCCGCCCCCAGCGTGCCTGGTGTCGTCACGTCACTTCCGGGTATCGTCCGCGCATGCGCTCCAGACAGGAGTCCCCCGCTCTGGACGAATTTACACTTGGCAACCCTACTCCCACTCCCTGCATGCCGTCCCACCCAAAATGTCCCCAGGAGGGTTAGTGGATTCTCAAGGGCAGAACTGGGTGCAACTTGGTGGTCCACAGTGGGGTTGGGGTATATTGATGGAAGTCCTGCCCCCTCCCTCCCTTCTTGCACAAGCAAAGAAGAAGAAGAGGAGGAGGAGGAGGAGGAGATTGGATGTATTCACTCAGAGTCTCAGAGTGGCTTACAATCTCCTTTCCCTTCCCCTCCCCACCACAGACAACCTGTGAGGTAGGTGGGGCTGAGAGAGCTCTCTCGAGGACTGCTCTTGAGAGAACAGCTCTGAGAGAACTTGTGACTGACCCAAGGTCACGCCAGGAGCTGCGTGTGGAGGAGCGGGGAATGAAACCCGGTTCTCCCAGATCTGAGTCCGCTTTCCTAACCACTACACCAAACTGGCTCTGCAGCTTTGCAGCATGGGTCAAACCCACAGTCCAGGGACTGCAAAGCGTGCGTTACATTAGTGTCCCGGTTCCCCGGTCCTGGGACGGACCCTTCCGCCGCTGGGGATGCTCCCACCCCCCGACTCACCCCTCGAGCCGGGGAAAGCTGCCACCGGGTCCCCCGCAGAGAATGCAGCACGACGGAGCGAAGCCCGAAGACCCGGACCAGAGGCTCTCCGTCGGCAGGGCGAGGCCTGTCCCACGAGCACAGCGATGGCCCTCCCAAGAGCGACACGGACGGAGGGAATAAAAGAAGGGCTCATGGAGAGGACCAGGGAGGAACAGCGTGGGAAGGAGAGTGCGTGAGAGGACTAGAGAGACGCTAGCGAAAGATCTCTCGCTCACGAGGCAGAGGGACTAAAGGGGTGCCGATAACCCTGTTCCCTGCTCATCTGAGGTCCTGTCAAGGCTCTCTTTGACATCCCAACCCCTCCTCCAGTGCCACCCAGCTAGACGCCACAGCCACGGGTGGCACCCCCCTGGACCTCAGGAGAGGCGTGTGACACCCAGTCACCCCGAAGGAACGCTAGTGAACGATCTCCAGCTCACTAGGCAGAGGGACTAAAGGGGTGTGCCAATAACCCCGTTCCCTGCTCATCTGAGGTCCTGTCAAGGCTCTCTTTGACATCCCAACCCCTCCTCCAGCGCCGCCCAGCTAGACACCACGGCAATGGGTGGCCCCCCCCCCAGACCTCAGGAGCGGCGCTTGACAGCAGAGGGAATAAAAGAAGGGCTCATGGAGAGGACCAGGGAGGAACAGCGTGGGAAGGAGAGTGCGTGAGAAGACTAGAGAGACGCTAGAGAAAGATCTCCCACTCACGAGGCAGAGGGACTAGAGGGGTGCCGATAACCCTGTTCCCTGCTCATCTGAGGTCCTGTCAAGGCTCTCTTTGACATCCCAACCCCTCCTCCAGCGCCGCCCAGCCAGACGCCACGGCCACGGGTGGTGCACACACACCCCGGACCTCAGGAGAGGCGTGTGACAATTAGGTACTACATCTTTATTTGGCTGATATCACATAATAATTAAACGAGATCTCAAAACTCTGCCAACAGCTTCAGAAAGACCGAATCGAACCCCCCCCCCAAGCGAAACAATAACACTTTGGTATATTATACATTATTTAAAACTGTACTTTCCAGTATAGTGAAATCAATAACATAGCCGGGAAGGGGGGGGGGGAGCGCGAATGAAAGCTGTTTAAAGGAGTTTGCCTTTTACCTTCATAATGTTCACTAAGTCCGTCTGATAGTAGCGATCCTGATGTGCATTCGCGGCTGCCAGGGTGAGGAGGTAGTCGTTCCTCGCGTGAGTGGCTTTAGAGTTGCACTCCGACCGCCGTGCTTTTAACTAGGCGGAGAAAGGACAATCGGAGACAGCCAGGAAAAGATGAGCGGTAATTAAAATGCAAGAGCGTAACTTTGTGAGGCAAAAGTCTCAAGAGGGTGCAGTCTGACGGTGCTCTTTTCTACCAATACGTGCAATTTCCCCCCCTGCTTTCAATGGAATGGCAGGCCAGTCTAGCTGGATAGATAATTCCTAAGACGATATATATATATTATTAACATGTAAAGACAGATGCTCTACCTTTCAAATTGGAGATGCCTGAGACTGAACCTGGGACCTTCTGCATGCCAAGCAGAGGCTCTGCCTTTCAAACTGGAGATGCCTGAGACTGAACCAGGGACCTTCTGCATGCCAAGCAGAGGCTCTGCCTTTCAAACTGGAGATGCCTGAGACTGAACCAGGGACCTTCTGCATGCCAAGCAGAGGCTCTGCCTTTCAAACTGGAGATGCCTGAGACTGAACCAGGGACCTTCTGCATGCCAAGCAGAGGCTCTGCCTTTCAAACTGGAGATGCCTGAGACTGAACCAGGGACCTTCTGCATGCCAAGTAGATGCTCTACCACTAAACCATAACCCCTCCCCCCCCATACATGAACGTATCCATAAACATATGCAGCTTGGGCTGGATCCCACAGATCTGTTCCCCTAACAATGGGTGAATTCTCCTGACTCAAGAAACCCTCCACAGTTATGTGTGGAAAATCACATATCGCTAGGGGAAGAGACCCATGGGTTATCGAGCCCTTTCTTCAGATACTCACCTTTACACTTGCTTTCTGTAAGCTTATCCTTGACTGAAAGAGACTAAGTTTGGACCTGCAACAGAAAGTAACAGAACAGGTCAGCAGGCTTCTAACACGATACGCTGAGAGAGAGCAGCTTATTTGAAGGAGATCGTCTTCCAAAATGCAGGTGTAAAGCGACCAGTGGAGTGGCTAACCATCAGACCCCACCAGCCTTACCTATTAAGTCCACAACAGTTACTAGCCCACAAAAATGTTCACTAGCTTGTACTTATGTGGCCCATCAATGGCCCGGAAAAGGGCAAACGGCTGACTCTTTCCTTTCACAAAAGGTCATCATTTGAGGGGAGCGATTCTACAGGAAACCAGGACGGAGGCCATTTCTGAGCTTGGACTCCACTGTCAATGACTGAGATGTACATTCTAAGCAGGGGTCCCCAATGCAGTGCCCATGGGCACCACAGTGCCCTCTCATGCCTTTCCTGGTTCCCACCAAGTGGTTGTAGAAAGTGGGCGGGGCCATGTGGGGGCTTTTGCCCAGCAAGACTTCTGATTGGCCACTGGAGATTTGATTGGCAGTGCAGATTTTTTTTAAAAAAACATTGCTCTGGTAGCAGCTGCCACCACAGCACACAGATCTTCACTTTGCGCCCGAAGGTAAACCGCGGCGGCTGTTTTGTGTCCAGCTCCACCTCCTTAAAGGTTTCTGCCTGAAATGTTGAAGAATTACTGTGAAGAGTCATCTATAACCTCCATCCCTGACATTTTGTGGCTGTCTCCGCCTCCTGCAGTAGACATTTTGTGACTGGCTCCACCCCTCATGGCAGCCATTTTGTGGTTGTGCTCACCACCCTGTGTCAGAATTCCAAAGGTGCCCAAAGGCTCAAAAAGGTTGGGACCCGTAGCTCAAGTGGTTAAGGCACTGAACTGCAGACCGGAAGGTCGGTAGTCCAGCAGTTCGAGACCCAAGTGTTGTATGATGTCGTGAGCTCCTGTCTCTGGCCCCAGCTCCTGCCAACCTAGCAGCTCAAACGCAAGAAATTGCAAGTAGATAAATAGGTACCACTTCGATGGGAAGGTAACAGCATTCTGTGCACCTCGGCGTTTAGTCATGCCGGCCACATGACCACAGAAACATCTTCGGACAGCGCTGGCTCTTCGGCTTGGAAACGGAGATGAGCACCACACCCCCTAGAGTGGCTTTTGACTGGTTTTCGAGCAAGGGAAACCTTTACCAAAAACAATTTGCTAGCCAAGATGGCTGTAATAGCATTGGGATGGAGGGATAAGTACAAATGGATAATGGAAAAATGGAATAATTATGTTTTTGAACGTGTACAATCAGATATATTTGCACAGATAATTACTGAAGAGACATGGGAGGAGAAATATCAAAAGATCACAAATAAATGGGTGGGATATAAGGAATGGGTGGAAAGGGGGGGAGCCAATCCAAATATTCTAATACGAATGAAAAATCTGTGCACATGGTTAAAGATATAAAGGTACTATAGGAGGGTGGGGAGGGAGAGGGGTAAAATGTCTGTATAATGATCAATGATATAAAGTAAGATTATGTATATAAGCTTTAATAATAAAAAATATTTAAAAAATAGATTTTCCATGCATGTACATCTAAAGCTAATTGTTGGAAATGAAAGAGGAGAGTGCTTCAGTTGCTGCTACTGAGCATGCTCTACTCTTGGCCAGATCTTTCACCGTCTCTTGCAGTTCGGCCTGGATCCTGGTCAGGTGGTCGACGCACTGCACAGAAACACACAGGTCGATTAGAAGAGACGCCGGTTTCCAAGGGCCGCTCAAGTCACTACCATATCCCTAATGCAAAAAACTCTGCTTCTGGCTTCCTTTAATACAAGGTATTCCTACGCTGGCCACGTTGGCTCAAGCAACCACCGTCTACCTGACGAGGACGCTGCACTCCCCTGCCACGTCTGGCAAATGGACTCAGCCACGGAAAGCCTTTAGAGCTTCCTTGGGATGATCCTCCCACTTCTGTAGGGAACCCATTTGGACACACACGGAGCCCCCTTCCACTGAATCAGACCCTCGGTCCATCAAAGCCCATATTGTCTACTCAGACTGGCAGCCGCTCTCCAGGGTCTCAGGCGGAGGTCTTTCCCATCGCCTCCTGCCTGGTCCTTTTCAACTGGAGATGCCAGGGATTGAACCTGAGACCTTCTGCATGTCAAGCAGCCTCTTCCTAAACACATGAAACTGCCTTATGCTGAATCAGACCCTCGGTCCATCAAGGCCCGTATTGTCTACTCAGACTGGCAGCCGCTCTCCAGGATCTCATGCAGAGGTCTTTCACATCCCCTACTTGACCATCTCTGGAACGGACAATACCGGGGGCGTGAGATGTTCCTGGCAGATGACAGCGCTGTAGGGATGTATACTGTTGTTATTGTATATTATTATCACTACTGTTGTTGCTTAGCATAAATTATCTTGGAACCCCATCTTGAATCTTATAGTTAAATATCCTTGGAGCACCATGGAAGGAATTTGTAGTGAATTGTATTTATTGTATTTTATACTGTTTTGTGTCGTTTTATTGTTTTAACCTCGGCATTTATGCCCCTTGTGAACTGTGGCTCAGTGGGAGAGCCTCTACTTGGCATGCAGAAGGTCCCAGGTTCAATCCCCGACATCTCCAGGTAAAAAGGACCAGGCAGGAGGTGATGGGACAGACCTTAGCCTGAGACCCTGGAGAGGCATAGACAGGGGCTGTGGCTCCGTGGCAGAGCCTCTACTTGGCGTGCAGAAGTTGGCAGATTCAATTCCCAGCATCTCCTGTTAAAAGGATCAGGTGGCAACTGATGTGAAAGTCTGCTGCCTGAGACCCTGGAGAGCTGCGGAGTGGGACTGTGGATAGAGCCTCTGCTTGGCATCCCAGGTTCAATCCCCGACATCTCCAGGTAAAAAGGACCAGGCAGTAGGTGATGGGAAAGACCTTAGCCTGAGACCCTGGAGAGGGGGCTGTGGCTCAGTGGCAGGGCCTCTGCTTGGCATGCAGATGGTCCCAGGTTCAGTCCCCAGCAGCATCTCCAGTTAAAAGAAGACCACGCAGCAGGTGATCTGAAGGACCTCAGCCTGAGACCCTGGAGAGCCAATGCCAGTCTGAATAGACAATACTGACCTTGACAGACCAAGGGTACGATTCCATATAAGGCAAGGGGAAGCGGCCATGGCTCAGGCAGAGTATTGGCTTTGCATGCAGAAGGTCCTAAGTTCAGCCCCCAGCCTCTTCAGTTTAAGGGATAAGTGTCTTGAACTAACAAAGACTTCCACCTGAGACCCTGGAGAGCCACTGCCAGTCTGAATAGACGATACTGACCACAATGGACCATTGATCGGATTCAGCGTAACGCAGTTCCGTTTGTTCAAGAATGCCGGTTTGATGGGCTCGTCAGTTGGGACCCAAGCGAAGGAACCAATCTCTTTTTTCCTGGTCCCTGCGTGAAAGTTAGACCGCTTCCAAAGTCGCTGCAAAGAAACTGATCTAATGAACTCTGTTTCACCAACTACAGAATTTCAGCTTTCAAAAGCCACAGTCTGTCTGTTTCCCTTCCTTTGGGAGAATAGTCCGCTGTGTGTATTCGCGCACAAGGTTGTCTCTGTGCCGATTTTCTGGCCTGCTGCCTGGGATGCCTTTACAGGATGCGGCTGAATCATCCCGATTTCCGCTACACCCTTAAACCCTTGAATAATCCCTTCAAGGTTTTTTTAAAAAGGGTACCGAGCCTTAGAACGAAAACCTGCTTGAGCCTAAATCGGAACAGTTCAAAGCCACCGGCCGAAGCCCACTTTTAGATCGATGCCTGCTACGCTGCGGGATGCGTTTGACTTCGCTGGTAAAACCTGGCCTCCCATTTTGCTGGCGGTTCCCGCCCCCCTCCTCACCAGCTACGGGAGGCACACAAATATATAGTGGCAATGTAAACTCGCTCTGAGGAATAAAAGTCAACTTTGTGAACTGCAACAAGGAAGCATCTGTGTGCACTTCGCTGGTAAAACCTGGCCTCCCATTTTGCTGGCGGTTCCCGCCCCCCTCCTCACCAGCTACGGGAGGCACACAAATATATAGTGGCAATGTAAACTCGCTCACGTGAGGAATAAAATTCAACTTTGTGAACTGCAACAAGGAAGCATCTGTGTGCACGAGCCTTCGAGCCAGGGGCTGGGAAGTGTCTTGAACTAACAAAATAGTCTAACCATGCAATGTAATGAACTCCCATTTCCCTCCAAACTTTGATCAGAGGGTACACAAGTTGGAAAGAAGGAAGGAATCTTTCAAAGTACTGAGAAGGAGGAGGAGAAGGAAAAGAAGGAGGAGGAGGAGAAGAAGGAGGAGGAGGAGAAGGAAGAGGAGAAGGAGGAGGAGAAGAAGGAGGAGAAGGAGGAGAAGGAGGAGGAGAAGGAAGAGGAGAAGGAGGAGGAGAAGAAGGAGCAGGAGGAGGAGAAGGAAGAGAAGGAAGAGGAGAAGGAGGAG